GACAACTTGTATGGAACCAGTGTGCAGTCTGTGAGATTTGTAGCAGAAAGGGTATGTTCACCAATCGTCTTACACCTCCCCTGAAGAAGGGTCCCAGGTGACAAGATGCATTTTTCCGGTCATTTCTCTTTCCTGATTACAGTTGTAAATTTTGATTAAAGATTCCTTTTAATGCCTCTAAGCAGAGAATCACTTCAGAGCATGGTCATTCATCTTTGGTCTAATCTCAATAAACTATGCTGACTGACTTGAGGGAGGAGGGGATGAGCATAAACCTAAAGACAATTAACAGCTTAAAGTTTAGGAAGATCCACTTTGTCCTTGACTCACTTATTATTGGCTCTAGTAAGGAAGCTTCCTTACTCTTGGTTGTTTAGAATAGTATCCTCAATTCTTTTTGTTAGCAGGAGTTACTTCTTTTTTTTTTTCTGAGCCATCCTGCCACCTGTTGGCAGCTCAGCAGCAGCTCAGCTCAGGCCAGGACTCGAACCGCAGTTGCTCAGAGCTCGCACTCTTGAGCGAGCTCTTAGCCAACTGAGCCACTCAACCAGCCCAGGAATTACTTCTTATCTCCCTGAAAACTCGATATCCTCTTGATGGAGGGTATGTAGGTGGGAAAGACTGCCCAGCCTGCTGCTTGTGGAAATTCCAATTTAAGGGAGGTGGAGATGATGTGATTCCCTTCCTGCTGATACTTTCAAAGGAATGGAAAACAGGAGAATGTTCAAGAGAGAATAGGAGAGAAAGGCACTTGCGTGTGACTTTAAAATCTGCCTATAGAGACATCCTAATCTGTGAACAGATGATTAATTTCATATGAGGGAAAAAAAAAGAATTAAGAGCCAGTCACATTTGTTATATAATTAGTATTTGTTGGGTTAATTTAATTTGACACGACCTCTTTTCCCCCTTTTGATATACTGGTAAAAAAAAATTAAACAAGAAATTTTAATACCTATCTGAGAATACACTAAGAAGTTCCATCTATTTTCCTCTCTCTTAAAAGTTAGGTTCTATGAGCTGTCATACTGTTTATAATCAATTTGCTGGATAATTGCATCTATTCTCCTCTTTGTGCATGTACATACGACCTTTGTTAACTTAAATGTTCTGGCTGATGAATAATCAAACAGCATTTAGAGATTTTATGTATCTCCTGCACTTCATAGATACCAAACTTAGAATTTGTTACTTAGGTGATAAAAGCTTGAACTATCTTAGTGTGTTTCTCCTATAAGAGCTCAAATATTGATAGATACTTCTGTTCCTATCTTCATAATATGCTTTTTTTTTCCTTCTTGTGTAAAAGTTCTTCTAGCATCAGGGTAATGAGGCCATTTCTCTCCAGGAGGTAGAATATGATGTGTGGCAAATGTATCTACTTTTCCGGAAGTACTTAATAAAGCAACTCCTCGTTCTGAGCACTCATTGCAGTGGAAGCCAAGTTAAATGAGATGTGCCATAATGTAATAGGGTTTTTATTTTTTAGCAAACAATTTACATACCCCATGCAAGCCTCTCTCTCAGCATTGAAGATATAATACTTCAGGTCACTCTTTTTGTGTCCATCTTCTGCTAGACTGAGCATATCGAGGGCAGGATGCATATAAGCACTCACCAATATTTGTGGAATTGCTCTAAATTCACACGATTTACCATTCCTCCAAATTTAACATAGAGCAGGGTGAGACAACGAGGTGTCTGTTTATTCTAACCAACAATCTTGTCAGCATGTAAGACTTGGGTTTCGGTCCTCCTAACACTGAGACTTTGGGCAAGTTAGTTAATATTTCTAAGGCTTAGTCTTCTCTTGTATGAACTGCAATTAATAGTATCTACCTCATAGATTTAAGAATGTCTTCTTGACAGTTGTCTTTAGAGATGGTTTACGAGTTTCCTGAGCATAGACTCACATTACACATTTCCATATATTTCTTTGTGCAGAGCATCAGGTATTTATTTAAGAAAACAAAGTTAACTGAAACAACACATGTGGAATGTCTATCCCAGTGGCAGACACTTAGTAAGGGGGTAAATAATTATGAGTGATGCCAAGCATTCAGTGATGACCTGTACGTCCGCTTTCATTTATGCTTTGCAGGGATCCTTTGTCAGTCGTGAGAAATCCATTATCCCTTATCTTCTCCTAAAGCACACTTACATTATTTCTAGGGGGCATTGGATTATGACCATTGTTTCTGGATTAACTCCATGTTTTTCCTCTCTTTTACCAGGGCAAACACTGTATACTTGACGTATCGGGAAATGCCATCAAGCGGCTACAAGTTGCCCAGCTCTATCCCATCGCCATCTTCATTAAGCCCAAGTCTCTGGAGCCCCTGATGTAAGTGGGGACCCCTGGAGGCCTCAGCCAGCCTCCTGTTCCATGTGACTCAGCACATTATTAACAGCTCTTTCTTACACATGCTTACAAATGGGAAATGTCACCGCTGATTTTTTAAGCATTCCCCTTTTTTAAAGCTATATTCAAGTTTTTTTGAGCCACTAGAGAAATGTCAGTAATTCCTTAAAATGTCTTCGCTAATGTTTCTTGACTTATTTTCACTTCACAAGTTGTTTTGTGTGTGTGTGCGCGTGATTTTGTTCTGTTTTGTTGTTTTGAAGGTAGGTTGATTTAGCTTGGTTTGGTTTTTCGGTTTTGTTTTCCAAATGATAGGTAGCATCATCTTTGAATTGTCTCTTACTTCTGAGAGCAGTTCAATGGGTAAATCTTTTTAAATGTGTGGGTTTATATAGAGGGAGCAGACAATATTTTAGACTCTGTTCATTGGCATTTCACTTTGTTCTATCATAGAATTCTTACATTCCTTCATTAAAACCTCATGTAGATAGACTACTATCCTTAATAGGGAGTTATCTTCATGGCTTGGCAACAAAACATCTATAACCTTAATCAATAGCTCCATGTCTGCATACATTTATGAATACAAAAAAAAATGCACAACTAGGAGGTTTTTATTCTCTTTATTTTTCAGAGGACTTGTAAAATAGCTTCCTTCAAAAATCAGTAAACAAATTGGGCAGATATTCATGATCTGCCTATAAAGTTCCATATTTTCTGCAGCAATTTGATAGAGAGTGTTGGCATTGCTTTATAGACAACTCTCGTACGAAAGGGAGGCCTCATTAACCATGCAGGCAGCAGGGCAAAGAGGCTCAGAACAGGAACTTGAAAATTAGTCAGGCTAGGTTTGGCTCTTTGCTTTGCCACTGATGAGTTGTGTGCCCTTGGGAAAGTGGCTTGACCTCTATAAGATTTCATTCCTCACCTCTAAACCAGACACATTAATAATATGTCCCTCATAGAGCTAGTGTAAATGTTAAACATGATCATGAACATAAAGCTTCTTCCCACAGTCTTTGGCATATAGTAAGCACTCATTAAATAGTAGCTATAAAAGATTTCAAGTTATTTTAATTAAGTGGAATAAAGATATTTTATCATTATAAAACACATAAACAGTACCTTTTCCAAGAGATCACAAGAGTTAATGCTAGCATGCCTGTTGCAAGAGCTTTGTTCAAATATGCCTTTATTTGGGCCTCAAGACTTTAGAGTATTTGACAGGGTACAGAAGTGAACCACAAAGGGCTGGAAAACATTGGTTATGGAAAGATCAAAGAAAACGGAATTACTTAATCCCAGAGGTGAAAGCAGTTACTTGCAGAGGAAAATGGCTAACTGTTCGCATCTTCTCTGAGGATGAAGAAAAGAAGCGAGCTGCAGTAGCTGGAATTGCAGCCTAAGAGAATTCAGTTAAATACATAGTTGATCTCTGGGAAAACTGCCAGAGCTGTACCTTAAAAGCTATATTCTCATAAATAAAAGATGGACAAAGTTTCTTATCAAGGTGAAAAAATAAAATCGGGGGTGACTGACAATTCAGCCCCATGAATTTGGGTATTGAATTATAAGATAAAGAACATCGCCCATAGTTGGCACATGGAAAAACATGTGCTAGTGATAAAATAATGGTTCTTGATAGTATTATCCCCAATAGGATGTATTAAATTTCTCTTCATGTAGGATATTGTGTGGGGTATTGCACAAAGTGAATTAAGCAACCACAAATTTCATTATGTAAAAGTAATTTATAATCTGTGAAGAGCCTCGTAAATATTATTATGAGTGCTAACGTTAATAAGAAGAATTTAAAAAATGGCCCTCACGTCCTGAGAGCAGCATCTTAAAGGCCTGTTTCATAAATAGAAGAAGAGGTTTCCACATCATAAACACGCGGTAGGATAAATGGCTTCCCAGGGAACTGAGACCTGAGGGAGAAGCAGAACAATGGCACATTTGGTTGAGTGTGATATTGGGAGACATACCCATCTGGCGCTCAGTGGGAGAAGGTCTACTTCCTTCCACAACGATGAGGTGACTTATTTAGTTTTGCCTTAGGGCATTGTCACAGCTGCTTATCACCAAGGAAGATTCAACAGAGGGAAGGTTGGATTCCTCCTTGAGGACAGTGAATCTGACAGAATTTGCTGCAGCCATAGTCCCAGGTCTTGAATGCAGTAACAGTGACGTTCAAACCCATGTGCTCTTATTCGTAAATGCTGGGCGTTTACTTTGCAGTTCACTCTTTTGCATGGGTTTTACTTCAGGAGCAAAGCTGGCATGAATTGCCCATTCCCCAGAAATAAGTGAATGCTAGGCCAGCTGGAACGAGAGCATGGCAGCTGTCACATTTAGGCATGGACACATCATCACACACGTTATTTCTCTGGGGCATCATCCCCATCGAACCACAGAGCTCATTAGCACACACATAACTGACTCTTCAGAGAAGCATAAGTGAAGCATATGACAGAGATGTTCTTTTTATATCATGTAGCCTTGTGACTTTTGCTCCCTGCCCCACCCCGTGGCAACGAGAAGCTTTCCCGTATCTTCACCTTGCCACTCTAACCTGCTCTTCTTACCTTCTTGCTCCCATGGTGGCCTGTGTTCGCTTCTGTATTCAACTATAACAGAATTATATTTATCTGTCTAGCTCTCCATTCATCCATCCATTCAACAAATAAGTGTTGAGTCAGGCTCCATTCCACATGCTGATGAACAAGCCATAGTCTCTGTCCTCAAAGAACTCACAGATTAGGCAAAAAGACAACACAAATTCATACACTAGAGGGTTAAAAACCTAACTTTAGTCTTTGCTACAATAAGTGCAAAGGGAATTGAGAGAAGACAGCCCAGCAAAGAAGATCCCAACCGACATGATTTTGACATCTGGAGCAAAATACTGTCTGTGAAAAGTATCCCTTGGTTTAGCCCAGCATCTCCTGCACCTGGGAATGACAACCATTAACACCTTTCAGGGCTAGTGCTATTTGGGAGGAGAATTGTAGCTACAATCTCTGCAGGTGAGATGAGTTTATTTCAGTAGTAAGAGTTCAGGAAATGTCCACTTCTTTATATTGCAACCATCAGCATTGTACACAGAATCATGTTAGTATCTGGCTTCAGTTTTTTATTTTTTCCAAATAAGACACTTTGGAAAGAAAGTCTTGGTATAATGGAAAGTCTGTTTGACTAAAACTTGGTTTAAAAGAAAACAAAAAACTTTTGAGTTCTTACATCAGATGTACTCTTTATTAAAAATACAACCTTAGGGGCCGGCTGAGTGGCTCAGTTGGTTAAAAGCTCGCTCAAGAGTTTGAGCTCTGAGCAACAGCAGTTCGATGCCCGGCCCGAGCTGAGCTGCCGCTGAGCTACCAACAGGTGGCAGGATGGCTCAGCTAAAAAAAAAAAAAAAATACAACCTTAGGCAAGTACATTTACTACTTCAGGCCTCAGTTATTTTTTCTCTGAAGAAAGGAATTGGCTGAGGCCACGTGTTCCAAACCCAGACCTCTGGCATCCTAAATGGCACACAAAGGCAGCAATGCCTTTGGGGGAATAATCTCTGGGGAAACTGTCAGAGCCGTATCTTAAATACAGAATTCTATGAGGACCTGTGATGCCTCCTGATGGGCCAACTGAAATGTCTTTGTACTCAGCTGGACTGTTGTCAGCCCAGTGCAGTCATGCTCATGCTGGTATTCTTGTGATGGTCAGAGGCAATGGTTGTCAGTCTTTGATTAAGAAAATGTCTTTAAGAAAAAATGGGAAGATAAAATATTTTTTATTTAATAAGCGCAGATTGGTAGGCAAAAAAAAAAAAAATTACCACCAGAGGACATGGGAGGATAAAGCTGTCAGTGACTAGGAATCAAAAGATTAGGTTATTTCCCATTTCCCTCCCACCTCAATTTGTCCTTGAGTGTAGGTTGGATTTAAATAAACTGACAATGATTAAGCAGCACAGACTAACAGAAAGAAAGGGACAGAGAGTCTTCCCAGGCATAATGCCTTTAGAGCCCATTCTCCTATCAGAACAAAAATAAACAAAAGTGACCATCAGAGATTCTTACCAAGGTCCTCTATCCTGGCTCACTATTTGATATTACTTCCTTACAGTCTATCTGAAAATATTTTGGTCCCAGCACTTTTGCTTGTTACAGCCTCTCTGTGTTCATTTTAATTCAAGCCGTTAGCAGCTCCTTGAGATTCCATCGGATTATAAAAACAGAGGGACAGCTGAAACTAATTCTAAACAATGTGTATTTCACAATAAAAAATAATAATTAATAAATAAATAAATAGATAAATAAATAAATAAATAAAAAACAGAAGGAGTTCAGGGCTCTGGTTGCTACTGACACGCCATGGCATTAACAGAAGTCGAGCAGCGAGAGAGGCAGATGACGGTTCAGCCTGAAAGATACACCCGCCTCAGGGGCCTGTCACCTCTTCTAGAATTCTTTGGAAGCACTTTCTGTTTCCACGTCTTCTGCTGTATGTTGAAGATGAACAGCAGCCCTTAGGGAGGATGGGGGAGCCCAGAAATCAAAGCTTTCTGTGAGATCAGGACCTGAGAACAGTCAAGCCGTGTTTTCTCAGATATAATGAGCTCCAAAATTCTGTGGTGTACCTTCCCTTCTCCCCATCTCTTCTCCTCCCTCTGACCACCCCTGGAAGATTTCATTTGATTCTACATGCCACATTTAAGAGAGGTCGAGATAGACCAGAACAAAGTCCGAGGGAGGGTAGCCAGGAAAGTTAGGATTTGGAAATCATGCCCAAGGAGAGAACAGATGAAGGAAGTAGGACAGTTTATTCTGAAGGAGTGGAAACCTCAAGGGACACATGAGCACTTGATTTATGGACCCTGCTGCCTGTCGTGGAGAAAGGAAGTTTAGCCCTAATCTATGGGACTGCAGAGGACAGGACAGGGACCAGTGACTGGAAATCATAAGGAGACAGATTCTGTTTCAATCAATGTGGGACCAAGGGACTGTCCTCAGAGAGTTCCTTGGGAGGGAGTCCTTATTGCTGAAATTATTCCAGCAAAGAGGAGTCCAGAATGAAGAGTAGGAAGCAGCTGCTGAGATTTCACTAGGCTTCCTGCAAGCTTCGTTTGGGTCATACATTTTAATTTTTCAGGATTTGGTATATTCCTTGTGTGTTCTAATAGCAAACCCTCATTTTCCCAGGGAGATGAACAAGCGTCTAACAGAGGAACAGGCCAAGAAAACCTACGATCGTGCAATTAAGCTAGAACAAGAATTTGGAGAATATTTTACAGGTAACTTCATTAACCCTTGGACTGTGAGGAAGGAGATAAATTGTCTGACATTTGGCATCGATGTGGGCCTGGTTTACTGGCCCTAAAACCTTCCTGCTGAGAATCCTTAATCTCCCTCTGGTTCACCCACTTGCTCCAGACTCTGTGTCCTCCCTGCTCTGAATTCCACCTCAGCCAGCTTCCAGGTTCCCAGGGGCCCCATCCAAAACTAGGTCTGGCAGATGCCACTGAGCTGTCTCCTGCTGTTAGGAGAATTGAGGCATTGATGCCTCATTAAGCTATCTCCCTGATATCATAAAAAAACTTGAAAAAGCAAACTTTCAGGGCTCAAAATGTACAGCATCTAAAACAGTTACTCTTGAGAAGCTATCTCAGGTCCTCCATTCTCTGCTTCAGTGACCTGGAGATATGATAAGGGGCTTGAAACACCTCCCTGTGTTTCAATTAATTCCCTGTCACGTCTCAACACAAAACTTTCTTTTTTTCTTTTTAAATCTTTCCTTGGAAACATAAAGTTTGGGGAATAAAGGAAGATTTTCTTGTGCAGATAGTCTGGGTTCTCTCTTCTTATATGTTTTCGTGAAACTATTGATCACATCCAAAGAAGGACCAAGCTTTGTGGAACTTTCTTTACAACTGATGGTTTGAAACCAAGAACTTTCCTCCAGAATTACCTGATGTGAAGTTAGATGTTTTATTTTTTATCTTATTCTGAGTAGGAAAACACCAGTGGCTTAGCCGTTTGCAAATATGTTGAATCGGGTAATCTTAAGTAAAATTCCTATTAATAACAAAGCTATAAGTTATGTTTCATCCTTAAAGAATATCCAGGTAGGACCATCAAAACCACGTACAGTTGACAGGGGCTTATATTCAGGAATAAAATGCAGTAATCAATATACTCTGAGGAGTGTTTTTGAAAATCTAAGCCACGTTTCAGTAGCAATTTATTTCTAAGCCCTAGTGTCATATGGATAGTACTGACTGTTTCAGAGATCTAGTTACAAGGTAGTTTTTGGTCAAAGGAGATAATAAAATATACTTAAAACTACTCTAAGTGACTCGGTGTTTTAGGTAATACACAGTTTAGCAGTTTGTTTGTTTCCTCCTGTTTATGTTTTTAATAAGTAATTGCCACAAGATATTCTCAATATGAGCTGCCCTGTAGGGAATATTTTCATTTTACTAGATTACTTGGAGAATGAATGGGGCTTCCTATTAAAGGTTTTGAGCATTGACTGTAACTGAAGTTTCTCCCAAAACCTTTATTATTTCCTCTGAGTCTAAAATATCAGAATTTCTTCCCCTGACAAAGTAAGGACAGTACAGAGAGTATAAGGCCAGCTTTCTTTAGTAAATAGGGAGCTCTCAATCTGAAAATTGATCAATGCCTAGCTCAGTGCCTGGCCCAGAATAGACACCCATAAAATGTAAATAAATGAATTATTCATTGTCCCAAACAGACAAACATGTAGAAAGCAGAAAGACTATGGTGCATTTATTACAGATCCAAAACATGCCTTGAAAGCTTTTTTTTTAAATCATGAATGTGACTTTGCTTAAATAAATTTTCTGCATTTTCTTACTAATGAAAACTAATGTTAAGCTTCCTAATGAGTTTGTTTGTTACTGAGTTGAGCTTCTGCTGTGTGATTGATGATTGTTCTTCACCACCCAGCAGTGAGTCCTAATTCTGGGTGTGTTTGCTCTTATTCTAGCTATTGTCCAAGGAGACACCTTAGAAGATATATATAACCAATGCAAGCTTGTTATTGAAGAGCAGTCTGGGCCTTTCATCTGGATTCCCTCAAAGGAAAAGTTATAAATTAGCTACTGCACCTCTGACAACGACAGAAGAGCATTTAGAAGAACAAAATATATATAATATACTACTTGGAGGCTTTTATGTTTTTGTTGCATTTATGTTTTTGCAGTCAATGTGAATTCTTATGAATGTACAACACAAACTGTGTGAAGCCATGAAGGAAACAGAGGGGCCAAAGGGTGGGACAGAAAAGACACTGCAGTATGCAGAAAGGCTTTGGTTTGCTCAAGGGGCCAGGTGTAGGGATGAATCCCTGAAGGGCTTTGTGCCCAAGAGATGGGCAGCCTCCTCACCCCAGCAGATGTCCAGAGCTGATTTAGCTGCTGAGCTCTCTGTGTTTTTTGCTTTAAAGAAAAGTTGCCAGCACTTGAACTTCACCAACCTTCCCATTACCCACATCTGTAATTGGTCCACTTCGAATTTTATAACTATGCACATCCTTTGGTTTCTTAACAAGCAAAAGAAAGAAAGAAGGAAGGAAAAAAGAAAAGAGCCCCTTTTGGAGACGGCATAATATCAGGGAAGGATAAGCGTGTAGTTTCTTTGATGGGCATCTGCAAAGATGAGCATTTCACAAATTCGCAAGTGTATGGAGGACTGACCTTACTGAGAGGAGGGGATTCCCCCTGGGGTTAGCTTTATGATTGTTTATTGTCTATTTTGCCATTTATAAACTGAAAGAAGGCACTAAAGATGAGAATAATTTATACAATAAAAATATATTAAATGTATAGAAACAAATTTCTATAGGTTAAAAAAGTTTTGTGAAATATTTTGTAAAGACAAATTAATGGAAAGACTAAATGTGTGCACTATCCGCAGACGATCAAAGTCAAGAACTGAAAGCTGCACTCTCCCTTCTGTTGCCAATGATTCATTAAGAGCATCTGAGGTCCTTCCGAAGTCTGACACAGACTTCTCCCTCACTTACCTCCCATGATCTCCCTTCCTTATTAGTGATACACTCTCACGGAACGCACCCCTTAATGAGTTGCCCTCATGGATATTTTTGGAAGACATTTGGTTAATGCATTTTTAAGCTGATGGCTCTCAGAGACCAACTCATGCGAATGAACTCAAGGGAAGTTTTCGCTTTTCTCTCATTAAACATCCTGGGCCTGCCATGCAAATAGTTGAATAACTTTGTTCCTAGCTACTTATATACAGTTCTTAAACATCATTTAGTATTTTGGCCAACCATGAGTAATTAGGCCTTTTTTTTTTTTTTTTTTTTGTCGCAAGTAACTGAGGTTTTATAACAGCCAGAGATGGTCTAGAGCCCTGGAGAGATCTGTCCCAAGATGCACTTCTTCTCTGAGAAAGAGATAAAGAAGTATTTGGTTAGGGGTACAGACTTTTGTTCCTGTGTACAGGGCAAGAGAATCATAAGAAAAGACAATTAACGACTTTGAACTCAACCAATTGAACTGCCTTTCTTGGGGGCTGCACCTGGACCAAGTTTGTTTTTTTAGCCATGATACTGATGATGATTTAAAACAAAAAGAAACCTCCCGAAGCCTATATCCTACTTTAGAGCCAATGGTGACATCAGCATTGCTTATGCCCAAGGTGTTTAGAGAGAGACTTTTCAGTAATCTGAATAACCACACAACTCTGGGTTCTGTGCATGCCCAGACCAAGCCCCATCGCCTTATTTTTGGGGTATACATCCAGACCTGGCAGGGATTCTGCCACACTGTGCAGCAAACCAGCATAGAGGCTGGGACGGTAGAGCTAGAGATGGAGCCATCAGCCGTGATGGGGCTTCTTCCCAGTAAGAACATCAGAGCTCGGAATGAGGGTCTCTTTCAAAAACAAGCATTTGTTCAGCTTACACTAAATACCACTGTCTGATTGGCTGCAGTCACCGAAACAAACACAAAAATTATGCATCTACCTATAGTCTTGAGGCCGCCTTTGCCAATGGCAGGGCTGGCAATGTATTTTCCCTCTGATGAAAGTTATGTTTCTGGAGATTTTCTTAGATTGCCCAGAATGTGAAAGATGTGTCCACGTCTGCCATGCGCCAGTTTCAGGTCGAGGTCTACTTTCATCAGTATTGCTCCCGGAAGTCTCCTGCCACCAGAACGCCATTCCTGATCCCAGCTCTCTTTTTAGGCCACCATGATAACTTCTTTGGTTTCTCAACTGAGCATGCAACCATTTATTTAAAGGACTGTCATTAATGAGTAGATGTTTCCGCGGGTCGTGTGATTGACGTGCTTTCCATTTACTATTAAGTATTGCTGTGGCTGAGTATAATCAAATTGAACCACCAACCCTTGGTTTTGTAGTAATATAATTATTTATTTTCCTAGTGTAGATGCTTTCAGATTCGAGTTGGCATTTGCACTGATTTTTTTATGTAGATTTATATAAATATATAAATATATATACATATATATTTGCTTGAAGAATCACCAAGCAAATTGGTGAGAGGGTCTTTTCCTATAGAATTTACACCACCATTCGTTGTGTTGTCCTGCGCTTCCCAATGTTGAGGTCTCTATGGCTCCAAAGAATCGGTGTATTTTGCAGCAAATCTGATGACTGGTATGGAAACGGCATGAAAGTTACCTAGATTACATCTGGTGCAAATGCACTTGGAGCCTAGGGCCAGACTGGTGCTAACACTGCAAACTTTGTCCGGAGCTCTCTCCAATCTGAAGGCTTGCTGGGGGCGCACTGTCACATTCACATGCTGGGCCCTTTCAGAAAAGTGCCAGATCGTGTCACTGGTGCTATTTTTCATGCTCTGGTACAATGTGTAGCACCACGGGGGTCTCAGCTTTACCAAAATCTAAACCCCATTTGTCAGCTAATCGCAGGGGCATTTGTTTTTTGCTCTCCTTTTGCAGGATTTGTTGGCCATTTCTTTGCAGGCCTTTTCTCTTGGCCCCAAGTTTTTGGGTGGGCTCTATCTGTTCAGTGAGCCCACCTTTACAAAGCTGCACTCAGGTGCCTGTGAGCTGTCTTAGATCCTACTGCCAGCCCTTCGGGACTCCAAGCCAGGGAAAAGCTCTCCACTCCTCTGGCTCTGCCTCTGGTTCTTTCTCAGTCCTTTTATCTGCTTTCCCCTTTCTCTTTTTATCTCATTCCATCAGCCTTTGGGGTACCTCTCCTTTTATCCTTCCTTCCTGTCTTCTCTGAGTTGTTCATTTTCTCCTGTAATCCTTCTGAACTCCCTCCCTTTCATTCCCCATCTCCTTGTTGATCTCTCCTTTATTTTCACACTTCCCCCTTCTTATCTTTCCCCTTATCACACTTTCCCCTCCTTACCTGTTCTTTCTCTTTCCCTCGCATCTCTCATCACCTCTCATACCCCACCTCTTAGTTTTTATGTCCTATAAGGGCTCATGGCTGATTCAGACAGCAAGTCCATAGATTGGACTCATGACACAAATACTTTGGGTCACTGTTTCACCTCCGCAGCCCAGAAAGCGAAGCTGAGCGTGAGGTCCTGAACTGGAGCACCGCTCACTGAGCCAGCCTGCACCGCTGCCTTGGCAGTGACGCTGCACGTGCTCTGGGCCCTGCCGGCACCTGGGTGACTGCCTGCCTGAAGGCTGGTCCAAAGCGAGCCCACTCCCAGCACCATTCCGCGGCTCCGAGGACACTCCCTTTCAATAAAGGCAGACTCCAGCCCCAACAGCTATTCTGACAGCAAACCTCTTCCTTCTCATTGGAACCATGCCATCGCCTTGATTTGAAGAGACACATTTTTTTCTCTTTCATAAGCTTTTTTTTTTTTCCTCCCCGTTTTTATGTGAAGCCCCCTCTGCTTTTCAGCTGGTGATTGCTCTGGTGAGATTGAATGGACTCACTGGTGAAATAACATCTCTTTTTTCCTGTCTTGGTCCTTTCTAAGAAATTCCTACAAAAAACATTTAAGTCAAGGACTCAGGCTAGTTCCTAGGTTTATCACAGTAATGTGTCACTCCTAGGGGGAAAAGGGGGGACATTTCCCTTAAAGCATGTGGAGTACCTCCTGTGACAACTGATGTGCCAGAGGGCTCCCTAGAGAATTCTATGGATATATATTTTATTTATGTGTATGTATGGTATATGTGGTATGTATATCATGTATACACATACTACATTTGTGAATGAATGTGGATGGAAACCCACACACCACCCCCCTCCAGTCTGTAAATATCCTTCCTCACTGAAAACTGTGCTTTGGAAATCATATCTTGTACAGCTGTGCAGTTTCTTGTAGCAGCTGAGGACAAGCTAACACAGGTGAATGATTTGGACAAAGATCATCTAAAAGGTAGAATTCAGAATCTCCCCAGCAACTCATGAGGACAGACAAGCAAATGGCAAGGTGGACTCCCCATAGGAAGGCAAATTTTTCTTCTCTCCTTTTTGAATTTGTGTTTCCTGTGTCTTAACTTCTGAGTGCACCAGGCTGTACCCGTTAGAGCCTTTCAATATGGCGGTTTTGTGCTTCTCTCTGACAGGATTTTCCTCCATTGAGCTGTAGTGCAGGATGGGAGGGAGGGGGAAATACTCCTTGCCTGGGCTGGAGTTTACAGAGACACTGCACAGCTTACACTCCTGTTAAGTGTAAATATTCGACACTTCCATTCCATTTGTGTAAAAAATAAAGCACACACGATTATAAAATTAAGATGTATATTTCATACTCAGTGTGTCCGTGCATATTTATTGCATTTCTAGTTGTCAGTGGTGGCCCCCTTGTGCAAATGCTTGATGGAATGTTTATAAACATGTCATGCTTTTATTATAACATATAAATATTAGAACATTTTATACTTCAGAGCAAATTATTTTTCCCCAAAGCATAATTTGTCTTCTTTTTTAAAGAATAGAATCATTCATTGCTATTTTTATCAAATTTGTTGGATTTCAGAACTGAAATGTAGTTAGAATAGGTTTGCTCTGAGAAATATTGGCACTGCTGAGAGGAACTGGAAGTGGTACTTTTGAATATTTTTCAATATTTGGTTACCCTTTTGCCCACTTTTAATCAGGATTTTGCTGAGAGTGAACAATGTATTTTTTAAAAAGGTTTTTTAAAGACCCTCACAGCTACATGAAAACATTCATTCCCTTATTTCAAAATTGTGAGATTCTAGAAGATAGTAAGAATGAAGAAAAGTTGTGGGGTTTTTTTTTCTTATCTGATACTTAGGATGAAAAGAAAGGCACAAATTGAAGTGTCATTAAACGGGTAATACACAGGCCCCAAATATACCAGCTCCAAAGATCTGAACATACCAAAAATGTCTGATTTGGAAACCTGAATCTGCCAGATAGTGTTCTAAATTCTTCCCTCCAAGCTAATATGTGCTTTGTCATACTGACATTTAGATAACACAGGTCCGACGGTGGGAGGACCAAAACAAATTTCTCCCTGGTAGCGATGGAATTTTGCCATCAAAGCAATCGCTTTGAAATACGCTTTGCTTCATGATAAACTATCACATAATTGGATCAGCCATTTGAGAATCCAAGCTTGGTCATGCTGTCCTGGCCATCACTGTGAGCCCACAGGTGTCCTGTCATTGTCCCTGGTGCTTGGCAGCAGTGAGCAGAGACATCAGCAGCGATGTAAGAAGACATTGACTGAGGCTGCAAGCCCAATGTGGGACTCACATCTTGACAGTTATTCAATTTTTAACATTTACACAGTCTCACCAGGTTTAATATTAATGGTAACACTACACAACTCCAATAATGGGGGTGCTTATGGGGGGTGGGGAGCTGGAAGAGCTTTTGACTTTCCCTGTGTCCTATTTCATTTCTACGTATGTAACTTGAAACATAGTCATTCTAGAAGTATCAAAGGTAAGAAATGGACTACACATCTCTGAACCCAAGACGACCTTGTTACCAATCGATGGTCTTTGTAGCTACTCTGAGACTACCTACCCAGGGACAGGATTTAAAAGCCTCAATGGGGCACAAGCTAAGGAATATTGGTAGAGGGGCAACTAGCTTTCTCAGCACAACCACAGAGCCTTCAAAGTTGTCAGGAGACAATGTCTTCTATGGGTCAAGACTGCTGGGCCTCATGACCCCATTCATTGCTCTCTGTGACTCACCTCACCCCCACATCTCAGGAGGTACCACCACTATAATGAAACTGACCCCTTCTCCCTTCAAATGTTACAGCCACTGTCAACTCCAGACTTTGCCCCTAATTCCCCTGGGCACAGTTGGGACAAAACTACGATACTTGGGCAAACTTTGCTAAAGACTGAGGATAACAAAAGGGAACTAATAGATTTAAGGGATGGGCTTAGTGTCCAGCCCCTGGCCAGCTGCCATGTGACAAAGGCCATCTTTCCCCCACCACCCAGGGGTGCCTAAAACACAGCTAGTCCTGATGTCAGAACCTTTACTCAGTTGTATCACACTTGAGAGATACTACATTCATGCCTGACTCAGCATTGCTTTGCTGTGACATCAGCTACACCTAAAAAGTGCCTGCTGTGTTCATCCCCTTGCTCCCACATCCTAGAATACAAATGGGAATGAGTCACTGTGGATAACTTGGATTATTCTTAATTGTAAAATTACCTTAGATGCAGATTCTGTTGCTGTAAGTGTGGGAAGGAGCCAAGAGCCCTCATTTCTAACCAAGCTCCCAGGTGAGGCTGATCCTGAAGTGACCAGGCTCTAATCCAGTGTTTTCCAAACTGCTGCTGACCACCCACCACTGGTTCATAAGCCAGAACTTATTTTTTTAATGAAATAAAAACTAGAGTGCCCCACATGTAGAAAGGATGAACATGGTTTTGTGTTGCCTGTGTCAGGTGTAAAATGTATTTCCTACTATAAACCATAGTCAGTTTGAGAAACTGCCCAGACGTTCACTCCGCAAGCAACCAGGAGGTAACTCTCCTGAAAATACCATGCCACTGCTAAGAATGAAAACTATTAAGTCCTTCTCTAGGCTACCTCTTAGCTTTTCCTCACAGGTCCTAGTTTCAGTGTCACACAAACCAATGCACAGACCCTCTCCACCCAGAGACAGCAGGTAAAATTTGAAACATCCACCTCAAATCTACTGAAGATGACCAATATCTAAGACAAGGTCCTAAACTGAAGTAAAGCAACCCAAGAACTGATGGTTCCTTCCAAAAGTCAGCATAGACCTTTGCAGTTTCCAAAGCCCTGGTCCACATCCTTCACAAAGGAAATCTAAATCTAGAATTAAAGTGTCACAGTCATCTAGCTGAGTATTTTCAGATTCTAGGTAAAATTAGCATGGCCTGGGAACCCATGGCTTATACACTGTATTTGCTTAGTCCTTTTTCTGTCCCCAAATAATTTCTCTTTTGTCAAAATAATTCCCACAAATGGCTTTTTAAAAATGGAGGTATTCTTGAAGATGAGAAAAAGAAAACTTAAAGGATGAATGATTTACAACACACTTCACAACTAATACCGATGCATCAGTACACCACCACTGGTCAAAACAGAAAGGCCTGAGAGAGACACAAGTCTCTCCCACCCTCCTAAGACTTGTTGCCTTCCTGTTTCTGGTCCCCCGTCTTATCTTACCTGGAAGATTGACTCAGGTAACATCTGTTCTTCCAGGCTTCACAAGGATGACCTGTGTGCGTACTGCACAGCAGAAAGCTAACGTCCAAACAATGAGACATATTGGGTCGTCGGGAAAGTCATGACGCGTTTTTGCATTGAAAAACACAGGAAAATATGTCTTGACTTTCCCAGCGACCCAATAGAACAGATCTCAATGTAGCAAAATACAATTAACTATCCTTCCATCTGAAAGGAGAGGGAAGAAAAATACTTTTGGGGTGGGCGGGACATTAAAATTTCCAAATCCCCTGTGGCTCTAGATAGCAAGTTAATTATAATTAATTTTCCCTTAGTAATGAAGTTAAGAGTCCTTCGGAGACAACAGTTAATTTCTATTCAACAAAAGTACAGAACCAACAAGTTAAAAGGCTGGATTATAATTGGATTGCTTGATTTCCATGGGTTACTCCTGCATCTTTGATATGCTTAGTAATCTTTCTGCAGAAATTCTGGGTGCCACTGTGCTCTTTCATTTGGCAGTTCTGTTATGAATAACCCCCGGATAAAGGAAATCTCTCCCCTTGGCCTTTCCAAACCATTTTCTTCTTACAATATTATTCACTCTACTGGACCACAACCACCAAATCTGGTTTCGAGTCCACAGTCCTTTTCATTAACGAATGGTGGTTTGGTTTTTGACTATCTGAAATTCTTCAGAGTATAAAGTTATAGGCATGTATGGCATGTTTTAAACTTGGGGTTGGCCAATACCTTAAAATTTGGAGTATTTAAGCCAACATTTCATGCAAAGAAAAACTAGCAGTTGCTTAATTTAAAAGGCCACACAAAGAACACATTTTCAAAGAAGCTGGCATTTTTTATTATTTATCTAATTGTCATTCCTTACACATTTGGTCAGCAAACAATAAACATCTGCTTGGAACCAGGCTCTATTTAGATAGTGGAATAAAAAATAAATGTGCAGGTCACATCCTGTCTTCCAAAAGACTGCAAGCCTAGTAGGTAGCAGAGACAAAAACAAACAAACAAACAAAAAACCTAAAACACAGAAACTCTAGAACAGACCAGTGAGTGCATAAAGACTTTGAAAGAGTGACCCTGACATCTAGGCATCAGACATAAACCTGCTTACAATTTGCCCCATTGCTGACACCCTGGGAAGAACCTTTATGGCAAAATGGAGTCTCTTCTGCAGCGTTCCTCAGCCTGTCAAATTACTGGTATTTCATTCTGTAGTTTAAGCTCCTGAGAGTTGGGTTCTTTTTTTCTTTTCT